CCTAATATGTGTTAAATAATTATTTTGTATAAATAATGGAATTGATATGAGAAATGTGAAATTAGGAGGATGTATAAATGAATGGTGTAGTTGGATTTGTTTAATCACTCACCTATGGAAATTTGATGAATTATTTGTTATAAAGATTGTATATCTGTTTAGAAATAACTATATTGGGCTATCGGTGGAGGATAGCTATGATTGTTGTAGAAATTGCATGAGGATTAAGTGAATTGAAACTAATCATTTAAATTGTGTCATTGAATATGACGGTATGATAATGCATTGGGTATGTATAGTTGATAGTCATTGAATATGACGATGCTTTTAAATACATTGTATATGTATAACGTTTTGGGAGGAGAAATGGGATGTACTCCATGTTTGGGAGGAGACATGAGATGGACTCCATTGAAATTAAGTTGGCTGGAGTGTCCAGGGTGAAAGTCTCAAAATCTTATGCATACATGAGTGCCGATCGCGCAGATGAAATTTCTATAAAATGGCAAGATTGAAGTGTCTGTATGATAGTTATGTTGATTGAGAACCACTGAGTTGTAATCTCGGTTGGATTATTTGGAAAATTATACACTTGGCATATGACTTGAAATGAAATAAATTAACTTGAAATGCATAAATGGAAATGGATTGAGATGTGAGTATAAATACTGAATGGTCATGGGAAAAATGTACGTTGGTTATAATATTGAATGTTTATCTGACACTTATAACTTAGTTACACCTCATATTTTGTGATAGACTGTTTCTACTGGCTTTGGCTCATCCTACTTAGGAAACCATTTTCAGGTACCAGTGACATGCTTCCTCCAATGATGTAGCTTGTGAGGACTTAGAAGCTAGAGGCTATATTTTGTTATTTTGTGTTTAAATGTTTATTCAAGCTGAGAGCTTTATATGTATAGAGTTTATGACTCTCTTTCGTTGTAACCAAGTAATGTCTTGGAAGATGTAAGCATGTTGGGCATTTATTTTGTTGTTATTAACTAGTGTTACATGCTATAAATTCAGGATGAACATTTATGAATGTATAATGCATGTAATATCTTTTGTAATACGGACTTTGATATGTGAAAGTATACCAATTCTATTATATTCATTTCTCTTGAGAGTTGGATTATTTGTATTATTTTGGGGGCATTACAAACACACTGGAGTTATACATCTTCACTCGTATAAAGCTTCATAGGGAGCCATTCCAATACTTGATTGATAACTATTATTATATGCAAATTCTATTAAGGTCAAGTGTTCATCCCAACTACCTCAAAAATCTTGGATACATGTCACAACCCAAACCTGTCCCTAAAAGTTTGGTCCATGACCAGTCTGTACATAGGCCTCAAAACAAAATTTCATGAATATTTATTCGAATACGGGGCCTTAAGCGGAAGCAAATTACAACATAAAGACAACAGTCATTGAGCTTGTGCATATGTAAAGACTTAGATTAATTTAAGCATTTAAATATACTTCCATATGTACACATATAATCACAAGACTTATATAGATCTCACACACAAATACATAGGACTTAATAAAAGACATAATTCTCCAATACCAAAACTAAAGCCTTGATGCGGAGGCGTAATCTGGGCGGCTTGATAGAGAGGTGGACCTCAATACAACTCTAGTGTTAGTCTCTGATGGCTTACCTACATAAATATACATAAAAAAGGAGTGAGCAAAGCTCAGTGAATAATAGCAATGTAAGGAGGTTAGGTGAATGAGCATGGTCTTGGAGAATATAAATCTACATATAGTAAATCATAGACAGGTCTTATCCATAGCCATATGTCAAAACGGCCTCAGGCCCACATGCAATTCAAAACGGCCTCGGGCCCATGTATGATATGAAACGGCCTTAGGCCCAACATTACAACAGCTGTCTAGAGCAATATAGGGAAGATGGAACATCGTCATGTCTCCATCTCCCTTGGCGTAGAGCCATTACTCATATACAGTTCATACCATTATAGGCTAGACGGAACATCGGCATGTCTTCATGTCCCTCAGTCTTAGGGCCAAGAGTCATAAACAATTTGCATCATAACGGTCTTGGGCCCACTTTTATTACTAGGAACAAAATGACCTTAGGTCCATATCAATGCCATCGTTCAATTATGTCCATTAATTCAATCAAAGCACAATGTCAATAGTATATGCCATCCACAAACAACAATATATAAATCATAATCACAGGAAGTAAGTAAAACATATCGTTACACTACTATTATTCACAGTGATGGGCTTCTAGTAGCGATGGGACGATGTTCTCGTCTTGACCTACAAACACAATGCACATAGCATAATATAAGAATATAACCAATCCCTTACTTGTTCTTTAATCAATTAGTCATGTTGGTTCTAAACTCATTAGTCCTCAATAGGTTATAATCCGTGTCTAGGAAAATAAGAGGAATCGAAAGGAAAATGGTTTAGAAGAAGAAATAGCATGAAATCGGTGGACAGAAAGTGAACAACCTTCACTAATTTGGGAATATCTATTTGTGTACTTAGAATTTGGGAGTGATACCACCACCATTGGAATCTAGACTTCCAGGGCTTGAATTTAGGCTCAAGAATCACTTAAAATGGAGTTCAGATGTAAGAGATATGCTTATTTGAAGTTGGCTGAAACAAAGTTGTCCTGCACCTGCGGGAAACAGGGCCGCACGTGCGGGACAAGGTGCTTTTATTTCAGAATCATTTTTGGGTGCTGGAGTGAACTGCCTCATGTGCGGGAAGCCCTGCCGGACGTGCGGCTCTGGGCAAATTCTGTTGTTCGAAAATGTTTGTTCGTTCTAACATTTGTTCTTTCCATTTCTAAGCTTGGTTTCAACTCTAATCACCCAAAAACATGTAAAATTATCCCACAACATGATAAACTAACATCATTCAAGTGTAATTCCATTTCAAACAAATCAATCTTTGCCTCAAGTTCAAGATCAATGCTTTATCTTTCATAATCTTTAAAGTTCTCAAAACACAACCCACAAATACACTTGATTCTTGCATAATCTTGTTCTATGGACAATCTAGAGTTCATTTCATATTGTATTCATAAGGTTGAGCTCCAATCATAAACAAAATCATAGGACCCAAGTTCTAATTTCTTAGATTGAGCTCAAGTAAATACATACATAAAACCCTAACCCAAATGGGTTCAAATCTTCCAATATCATTATGATTTCATAAAATTGATGCATTAAATATAAGGATTCAAGATATACTTCCATACCTTAGTTCAATCTTTTCCTTTCTCTTAGCTCTCTTCAATTTCCCAAGCTTCCATGCACTACAAGAATTTACACTTTTGGCAACAAAAAAATTGGTCGCTAAAAGTCTATTTTTTGTCGGCAAAAGTTATCCGTGACCAAATTTTTTGGTCGCTACTTTGGCCGCCAATTGAGGGTCGGCAAAAGTAATTCGCGACCAAAATTTTGGTTGGTCGGCAAAAGTCGGATTTGCCGACTAAATTTTTGGTCGCGAAATATATCATTACCGCGACTAATTCAATTAGTCGCTAAAACACTTTGGTCGCGAAAAGTGATATTTTCCCGGCCAAAAAGTTTGGTCGCCAATTATCACATTCAACGACCAAAAAGTTTGGTCGCCAATTGTGACATTCCGCGACCAAAAATTTTGGTCGCCAATCGTGACATTCCGCGACCAAAAAGGAGGGTCGCCAATTGTGACATTCCACGACCAAAAAAGGTTTTGGTCGCCATTTGTTACTTTTCGCGACCAAAACTTTTGGTCGGCAAAAGTGAGTTTCCACGACCAAGAGCTATTTTGGTCGGCAATAGATGTATTTTTTGCGACCAAAACTCTTGGTCGGCAATTGTCATTTTTTGCGAAAAAAAATTATTTATTTGTCGCGACTAATAAATTGGTTGTCAAAGCAGGAAAACAATACACTTGTAATTCCTAATAATTTATTCAATCCATAATAAACCTATAATTTTAAAGCATCACTCAAATTAACTGAATCATTAATATTTGACACAATACATAATTCATTAACATTCAATTTATTAAATTTCTGTCAAACAACCAGACATCCCCACTATGGTGTTCCACCAGACATTGTTCACACAAAATAATGACAACCAAAGAATCCAACTGTCAAACAACCTACTTCCAAAATTTCTTAAATTTCCGAGAACACTAGTGTACATTATATACATCCTATTTATAGAACTACATTCCAATTCAAACTGAAACACCCTAGTTTTAGCAAGAACAAAAAGAAACAATTCTACGAGTAAATAATATGTGGAAGCTTTGACTAAAACAAGAACTCTGTGTCAGAAACTTCGAGGACATTGTGGACGCCAATAGGGTTCACACCTGGCCGGAAAGCATTTCCTTCAATATACCTGTGACAACATTTAATCAATTAGCATTTCACCTAGTGTTGGGTAATTGCAATTTGCTTGTACTGATTGAAGACAGAAACTCACATTTCTTTCAAGAAAGTGTGCTTAGAGAATGCATCCGGGATTCTCCCAGTAAATTGATTATGATCCAGGTACCTGCAATGAAAGCAAGCTTAAGATGTTATCACACAGAGATTATTTGCAATGAGATACAAATAGTAAAGCATACAAATACTGTAGGGAATAGAACATGAAATTTACAAATGTCCGAGTTGTTGCAGAGTGCCCAATTCTGGTGGAATTCGCCCAATAAAACGATTTTCATGTAGATAGAGGTAACGTAGCAGAGGAAGATTAGCTAATTCTTTGGGGATTTCTCCTTTGAAATTATTGAAACTCAAGTATCTGCAGAAGATTCATTATAACACATTAATAGTATATAGAATAAATAATATGAGAAAATTCCAACAAAACTAATACCCTCAAAGATGATGAAATTACTCACAGATGGGTTAGACTCTTTAGTTCACCTATTTCAGGAGGAATGACATCTTGCAACTTATTCCACCTCAAATTGCTGGAAAGAAATAAGAAAGAAAAATACTGTAAGTAAACAGAAAATTAGAAAACAAAAAAGATCAGAGCAAGTGGGCTAGAGTTCTCAAAATTGGAGAAAATGTTTTCCACATGAAGTGGTTGGAAAAAAAAAATTCAATACAGACAACTTGTTAGTGTATTTGAATACAGACAACTTGTTAGTTAATAATAGGGTTTAAATTATACATCAGCAATTTCAATCCTCAAAGAATGTATTTGACTGGAGCAACTCATTTGATCATCTGACATCATACACTCCATTCACACAGACACTGTTTTATTAAATAGGAAATATTTAAATTGCTCAGCCATCACTACAACAAAAATAGTCTTTAGAGACGAAAACTAATGACGAAAAAAAATTTTGTCACGAAATACGTATCTTTTAATAACGAAAATCATATTTCGCCTCCAAATGTACCATTTTTGGAGACAAAAATAAAATTTCGTCACCAATATAAATCATAATAAAAAAATAGGTGACGAAATTATTTTTCGTCATTATTTATATTTTTTTTGTCACCAAATATCTTCCCGCTAATATTTTCGAAGGGTGCCAAAATTTTGAAACTTTTAGTGACGAAAAAATTGGTCACCAATTATAAAATTACTAATGACGAATATATTTTTGTCACCAATAATTTTTAATATTTTAATATCATTTAGTGACAAAACGATTTTTGTGGCCAATATTTCTATCTTTGGTGAAGAAATAATTTTGTCACCAATAAATAATTTAGTCACTAAATATTTTAGGAGGGAAATAAAAAGTTTTGGCGCCTCAAACACACACAATAGTTTCTCAGTTCAAACCTATTTCACACACACATACACACACACACACGCCGCTGCTCACTCTCCTCATCGATTCAGACACAGATTCATCGTCGATCGGCTCACTCTGCTCACCGCCGTCACCCTCTCCTCACCGCCGCTGATCTGTTAGCTTCTCCTCTCCTCACCGCCCCTCGCTGCTGTGCCGATCTAGCCTCTCCTTCCCTTGCCGATCTCATCTGGTATCACATCATATATATATTTGAATAAAAATTATGCCAGGGAATAGGGGAGGCGTGCACAATTGAGCCATTTCATTTGGTTCCTTCTTCTCTGCACTACTCTCTCTCTCTCTCTCTCTCTCTCTCTCTCTCTCTATGCTCTCTCTGATGTATTTTTCTAATGTATATGCTCTGTATACATATGAAATATGCTCCATATACATATAAAATATGCTCTGTATAATGCTCTGTATACAAATTCGATGTTCCAATTGGAAACCCAAAATAAATAAAAAAAACCTAATGGAAATCTGTTTTGAATTGGATTTCGCCTAGGTACAAACAATGATGTGCCTGCTGGATTATCAATAAATAGGCAAGTGATGCTTTAATTTTTTATATATTAAGTTTAATATAGTTTTTAAAGAAATTAGAAATCTATTAGGAGTAGATTATCAATATAGAAGAGTAATTAGAAATCTATTTAAAAGGAGCAGATTATCATATTAAGTTTATATATACTCAATACTATAAGTTTGAATCTGGGTAAGGGGGTTTTGATTTGGGCTAATGGGAATCGATATGAAGGGAATTGGGAAGATGGTGTTCCTAAAGGAAATGGGGTTTTTGCTTGGCCTGATGGGAGTTCTTATACTGGGATTTGGAGTGATAATTTGCATAATCGGCAGCCTGAGCAGTCGTGTTTCGTGTTGCCGCCGTCCAGGAAGAGATCGTCAGTGGACGGTGGGAGGGGTAGTTTGGCTGAGAGGAATGCCAATTTTCCCAAAATTTGTATCTGGGAATCTGATGGTGAAGCTGGGGATATTACTTGTGATATTGTAGACAATGTGGAGGCTTCAATTTTTTATAGAGATGGGGTTGGGGTTGGGGTTGGGAGTGAGTCTTCTTGTGGAGGAGCTCCTGCTGGGCAGTAGAGGAAGAGTCCTTGTTGGTATGAAGGCTTTGATGTCAAGAAGCAAGGGCAGATGATATCCGAGGGACATAAGAATTATGAATTGATGCTTAATCTCCAACTGGGTATCAGGTTGATTATTGGATTGGATTCTTTGGCTTTTGCTTTTTCATCTGTTGCATCTGTTGACGTTATTTGGGTATTGGGTTTTTGTTGGTTGGTTTTGTGTTTTGTGAAATTCTTATTGATTTGTGGATACTCTGTTGGGAAGAATGCGTCCATTACACGGGCGCTTAAGCCAGCGGATTTTGATCCCAAGGAGAAGTTCTGGACTAGGTTTCCAACTGAAGGATCGAAATGCACGCCGCCACACCAGTCAGTGGACTTCAGATGGAAGGACTACTGTCCCATGGTGTTTAGGTATATACTCTATAAGAAATTCAACTAAGCATGTTGTAGGTTTTTTTTCCCGGATTTTGATTTGAAATTGATTTGGTTTAGTTATTTTTTGGATTGCCAAATTTTGGAAGATTGAACTCTCATTATTTCATCAACATCATTGTGATAATTGCATTGTTGGATATTTAGACATCTTAGGGAAATGTTAGGAATAGATCCTGTGAATTACATGCTGGCTATTTGCGGAAGCGATGCCCTTAGGGAACTGTCCTCCCCTGGCAAGAGTGGATGTTTGTTCTACCTAACACAAGATGATTGATTTATGATCAAAACTGTGAAGAAATTTGAAGTTAAGGTTAGTTGTCCATACCCAACATGTCATTTAACCAATATCTGAAATAGAGAGATGATAGAGCACTCAAATATAGAGATTGAGATTCGTTGTTCTTAATTTAACAAAACATTTGAATCTGGGTTTATTAGAAACTTAATATAGATTTGCATCTGGGTTCATGACATAATTTCCATATGATCTATGTACTCTTAATCATTACTTATAAATCATATGGAAATTATGTCATTTGTAAATTTGATTATAAGAAATAATATAACTCAATACTATAAGGATCGTAACTTAACTCAATATATTATGTTTCTATGCTAATTTAGTAGAAATTTATTCTTCAACTAAGATAGTGAACTATGCACGTAAAAGCTTGAGAAATATCACAAACACTGAAATATGCACGTGGCTCCCAATTAGGAAACTACTTTGACATTTGCACTATTCCAACATGTAGGCATGAAACTAAGTAGAAAACTATTCCAACATAGTTTCTTGGTTCAAACCTATTTCTCACACACACACACACACACACACACACACACACACACACACGTTATCACACACACACACACACACACACACGGAAACTTACGGAACTAGCACGGGACTCCCGGTTTGAAAACTAAGTCTAAAAATGCACTTTTTCCACACTTAAGCTTGAAAATAGGCTTTCGGGGGCCAGAATCGTGCAACAGCCACGAGACAGCCCGGGAAACACCTCAAACACCTCGGGACGGACCAATGTGAGTTGTAGAAACTTACGGAACTAGTACGGGACTCACGGTTTAAAAACTAAGTCCAAAAATGCACTTTTCCACACTAAAGCTTGAAAATAGGCTTTCGGGGGCCAAAATTGTGCAACAGCTATGAGACGGCCCGGGAAACACCTCAAACACCTCGAGACTGACCAATGTGAGTTGTGGAAACTTACGGAGCTAGCACGAGACTCTCGGTTTGAAAACTAAGTCCAACAATGCACTTTTTCACACTTCAGCTTGAAAATAAGCCTCGGGGGCCAAAATCGTGCAACAGTCACGAGACAGCCTGGGAAACACCTCAAACACCTCGGGATAGACCAATGTGAGTTGTGGAAACTTACGGAAGTAGCACGAGATTCCCGGTTTGAAAATTAAGTCCAAAAATGCACTTTTTCACACTTAAACTTCAAAAATAGGCCATTAGAGGCCAAAATCGTGCAACAGCCAGGAGACGGCTTGGGGAACACTTCAAACACCTCAGGATGGACCAATGTGAGTTGTGAAAACTTACGGAACTAGCACGAGACTCCCGGTTTAAAAACTAAGTCCAAAATTACACTTATTCACACTTAAGCTTCAAAATAGGCCACCGGAGGCTGAAATTATGCAACAGTCACATGACGGCCTGGGGAACACCTCAAACACCTCGGGAGGGACCAATGTGAGTTGTGGAAACTAACGGAACTAGCACGGGACTCCCGATTTGAAAACTAAGTCCATAAATGTATTTTTTTACGCTTAAGCTTGAAAATAGGCCTTTGGGGGCCAAAATCGTGCAACAGGCACGAGACGGCCCGGGAAACACCTCAAACACCTCGGGATGGACCAATGTGAGTTGTGAAAATTTACGGAACTAGCACGTGACTCCCGGTTTGAAAACTAAGTCCAAAAATGCACTTTTCCACACTTAAGCTTCAAAAATAGGCCTTCGGGGGCCAAAATCGTGCAACAGCCACAAGATGGCCCGGGAAACAGCTCAAACACCTCGAGATGGACCAATGGGAGTTGTGGAAATTTACGGAACTAGCACGGGACTCCCGGTTTGAAAACTAAGTCCAAAAATGCACTTTTTCACACTTAAGCTTGAAATAGGCCTTTGGGGGCCAAAATCATGCAACAGCCATGAGATGGCTCGGGAAACACCTCAAACACCTCGGGATGGACCAATGTGAGTTACGGAAACTTACGGAACTAGCACGGGACTCCCGGTTTGAAAACTAAGTCCAAAATTGCACTTATTCACACTTAAGCTTTAAAATAGGCCACCGGAGGCTAAAATCATGCAACAGTCACGTGACGGCACGGGGAACACCTCAAACACCTCGGCAGAGACCAATGTGAGTTGTGGAAACTAACGGAACTAGCACAAGACTCCCGGTTTGAAAACTAAGTCCCAAAATGTAATTTTTTACACTAAAACTTGAAAATAGGCCTTCGGGGGCCAAAATCGTGCAACAGCCACGAGACGACTCGGGAAACACCTCAAACACCTCGGGATGGACCAATGTGAGTTGTGGAAATTTACGGAACTAGCACGTGACTCCCGGTTTGAAAACTAAGTCCAAAAATGCACTTTTCCACACTTAAGCTTCAAAAATAGGCCTTCGGGGGCCAAAATCGTGCAACAGCCACGAGACGGCTCGGGAAACACCTCAAACACCT